GCTGCTGCTGCTGCTGGACTCCGGTGGCGAATAGGATCATACAACAGATTATATCTATCTATCTATCTATATAAAAAAATATAGATATCGCAATAATTGTGTGCTCGGGCCAGAGCACTTACACCGCGAGTGTGGCAGGCGCACGTGGGCGGGTCGTCGGCCAATGTGTGGGAGGCCGGCCGCATGTGGAGCGATCTGGTGGGGAGCGGGCTTCCCATCACGCCCTCCGCCCTCAGCGCCATGGCCCACGTTCACTGCTCTCACTCGGGCGCGCGCGCCGCCCTCGACTTCCTCGCCACGTGCGTTACCCCCCCCCCAAAGGTCATTGTTGGTGTTGTAATCACTCATCTGCCAGCGCTCCGCCGCCGCCGCCAGTTACTAATGGGCGCGACGTGTGTGTCGTGTATGTGTCGTGTGTGAAGCGTGCGCAAGGGGGAGGGTGAGGGGCGGGGCATGGCGGGTAGTCAGGATCTCTACGAGGAGCTTCTGGGTGCGAGCGCGTCGATCGAGGAGGCGCGCGAGGTGCTCCACGAGATGCGCGCCCTCGGCTACGCGCCCTCCTCGACCACGCCCTTCCGACGGCTTGCCGCCCGCCTCCCCTCCCGTCTTCCCGTCTCGTATGTTACCATCGCCGCCGCCGCCGCCAACGAGTGAGCCGAAACTTGTCTTAGCGACCATGTGTGCGTGTGCTATGTGTCGTGTGTCGTGTGTCGGTGCGTAGTGAGCGGACGCAGGTGCTGGATCTGATGCAGGAGAGCGGGGTGGGTGGTGACGGGGAGGTGTACCGTTGGCTCATTCTGCACGGGCACCCCGATGACGGCATGGGCCTCCTCAACCGCATGCTCCACGAGGGCCTCCAGCCCGACGTCCGCGTCTACAACGCCCTCCTCCTCAAGACCGACGGCGTACTCCTCCCAACCCCCCCCCACCAATCGAATCCCCGTACCGCCTTCCCGTGTGCGTGTGCGGTGGTGCGTGTGCGTGTATCTCACGCGCCACCGCCAGGACGAACCCAAATCGGCGGCGTCATCGCCGCCGTCGAGGAAGAGCATGCACAACATCTGGCACCACGGCGGACGGTACGAACCCTGATATATATGTATATATATTTATTTACACTATATATACAATTTCTATTTCCCATCCACCAATCCACCGCTGCTGCTGCAATGGGCCGGGCTGACTGGGGGGAGGGGGCCAGGGCGCGTGCGGAGGCGCTGTTCCGGAGCATGCGGGAGGGAACGGTGAGCACGGACCGCACGTACGCCTACAACCCCAAACTCAACGCCGAGAGCTTCATGATCCTCCTCCGCAAGTGCCGCCGCCACCGCGAACCCGACATGGCCATCGCCCTCTTCGACACCCTCCTCACCGGTGCGTGCCCCCCCCCGCCTACGAAAAAACACGACACACGACACACGCACGCCAAAGAGGACACACACACGGCACACACACACCACACACACCACACACACCACACACGACGCGCACACACACACGGATGTCATATGCACACACACACACACACACGACGCACACCCGCGCGCACGACGCACGCACTCACCCTCGCTGCGGCACCTGGTGGGAGGTAGAATGTCGGCACATCCCGCGCGAGAGTGGCATGTACGGACTTCTCCTCGCCAGCCTGCAGCCCTCCGTCGTGTCGCCCGCGTCCGGTACGTCCCATCACGTGGTCCAGATTAGTTTGGATTCGTTTAGATAGTTTAGATTAGATATCTTACTCTAACGATTGACCGTACGGCTTGCCTTGTGGGCGATGGGGGGGGGGGTGCAGAGGCAGAGGCCGAGCGGTACCGGGAGCACCTGGGCCGCGTGGTGGCGCAGATGGAGGCCGATGGCGTTCCCCTGGCCGGCCCACACGCCGCCTCCGCCCTCGTCGACAGCTTCGTGCGGCATCGCGGGCCACCCGCCGCTCCCGCCAGCCGTACGATCCACGATCCCATCAACGCGCGCCCCGCCACTGTCGCCTCTCGCCGCTCACACGTAACACACTCGATACACCCACACGACACGCGCACCACACGCACACGCACACGACAAGCAGAGTCCGGCACGGGTGGGGGGAAGGGGTCGCTGTTCGCGGAGCTGCAGGAGCGTTTGGGGCCGAATTCGCGCTACCTCAAGACGAGCCTCATGCACGTCTACGGCACCCTCGCCGACCTCCCCAAGCTCGAGACCCTCTTCGCCCAGGCACGCCCCTCCCCCCCACACATACATACATACATACCTACATACATATCGCATATATATGTATCCACTCCATCAAAGAAAGAAAGAAAGAAAGCCAACGAAAGCGAAGAGAGAGAGAGAAGCGTGTTGGTTGCTCACGTGGGCCGGACGTCACGTCTAATCCGTCTTCTCTCTCTCTCTCTCTCCCTCTCTGGCTCTCCAGATGGTGGAGGAGGGCGAGGTGGACCTGGCGGCGTGGTCGGCGCTGGTGGCCGGGTATGTGCGGAATGGGCGCGTGGAGGAGGCCCTCGGGGTGCTGTACGGGATGCTGGAGCAGCACGGCCAGGTGCCGCCGGTGAGCCTCCTCGGGCAGGTCGGCCGCGCGCTGGAGCAGGACGGGCGCCTTGTCCAGCCGGGCGCCCTCCGTCCGCTGTTCACCGGCACGTTCGCCGACATCCGCCGGCAGGTGTTCCGCGTGGCGCGCCACCGCCGCCTCGACCGCGACGCGGCCTTCCGGCAGCTGGCCTTCAACCGCTTCCTCTACTTCCACCTCACCCTCCTCGCCCGCCGCCGCCGCGATGGTGGTCCTCCCTCTTCGCCTTCGGCCGCCGCCCGCGCACCGCCACCATCCTTCCTCCCGTCTCTCCTCTCGCGCATCGGCATCGCCGGCAGCGGCCGCGGCAGCTCGACGGCCACAACCGGCGGCGGCGGAGGTGTGGAGCGGGAGCGGAGGCAGGAGCGGGTGGATGCGCAGCGCACGCAGCTGATCCTGGGGCGCATGGAGGACGAGGACGTGTACGTGAGCGTGCCCCTCCAGCGACTCATGGCCTCCTTCATTTCGTCCTCCTCGCCCCTCGGCGGCCCGGAGGGGCGGTTCTAGATTCTAGCAGAAGGAGACCAAGGAGGAGGAGGAGGAGGAGAAGAAGCAGCAGCTGCGCGCGCGTGGTCCCGCACGCCCGCCACCCGACCACCGACGACAGTGTACACACGTGTTGCGAAGGATGATGAACTTCTTTTTAATAATAATAAAATTTATCTTATGCCTCACGCATAAGTTGATGAAACCAAAAACATAAGACTTGTGTACACTGACAGGACTAAGACAAAAGGAGGAGAGAGCGGCACACACGGATGGAGTGAGTCCATCGAGGTGGGTGGGTGGGTTGAGTGGAGGCTTAGTGGTTGGCGTTGGCTGCGGCAAAGGCGGTGAAGTAGAGGACGAACACGAGGCCCAGGCTCGAGCAGACCATGAAGGCCGCCACGAACAGGGAGATCCATGCGAGCCTTCGCCGGCGGGAGCCCATCGGCGCGCCCACGTTGAGGACGAACGTGATCAGACCGATCAGCGGGATCCACGACAGCAGGCACCTGCCACCCCGTCCCCCCACGCCACGCCGCGCCAGTTGAGCTCACGCCACGCGCAGCGATCGATCGACAACGTCACACCAACGTCACATCAAAACAAAAGCAGCACATACCCGAGGCGGGCACAGCCCAGATGCTCGTCGTGGTGGTGGTGGTGGTAGTCATGATAGACGGGGGGCGCCATATGTACGGCCACGACGGGGTGCTGCTGCTGCACGTAGGGACCCGGGTAGGGCGCATACTGCTGCTGGGGCTGGAACTGCTGCTGCTGCTGCTGCTGCTGCTGCTGGTAGATGCCCGGGGCGTAGGCTGCACCTCCCGCAGCGTACACCTCTGCAGAAGACACCCACCCCCACCCCCGCCCCAAAGAGGACACAAAATGTCAGCTCGCCTACACCTGTTTTTTATTTGTATCTTTTATTTTTTTGTTCTTTGGAACGAGCGAAATGTGGCGGCGTACGCGGTGCCGGGGTGCCCTCGCCGCTGTAGAAGGTGGGGTTGCGCTGGTACTCTTGCTTGTCGGACATGGTGTGGATTGCAAGCTGGAAACAAAGATGCAAACAATCACAGGAAATGGAAAGGTTGTCCTCTGATTAAGGAATTTCAATCACGCATTGTCGACACGAGGCACGAAAGAAAAAGGAAAGGGAAAATCAAATCGAGTTGGGCCACGTCGTTGATTGCTTAGTGGATCACTTCAAGGCGGGGAGAGTGAAGCAGCAGCCGACGTTTGGGGAAGAGAGAAAGTGCAGGACCTCACGTGACGTGAAGGGACGGAACGAACGTTCATCACCCCCCCCCAATCATGATGGAGCACCCGGCCGAGGAGAGGAGATCGCACCGATGGGCCGAGGAGAAGCAGGTGCTGCTCGAGGAGCTCAGCGCGGAGAAGGAGGCCCACGGGTTCGCCATGCTGCGCCTGGCCAACGCCGAGCGGGAGGCTTCGGCCGGCCGCGAGGAGCTCGAGCGGCTCCACCAGCAGTGCGACTCGCTCGAGGAGCGCGCCCGCCAGGCTAACCTCGCCCTCCAGCGCACCCAGCTCCTCCTCCTCGCCGCCCAGAAGTCGTCTTCTTCCTCTTCGTCTTCGTATGCCGACCTGACGCAGTCGCCCCAGTCGCCGTCCCTGTCGACGTCGACGTCGACGGCGGACGTGGAGGCCCAGGCCGGTGAGGTGGCGCGCCTGCGGGCGGCGGTGGCGGCGCTCGAGGGCGAGGTGGCGCGTCTGCAGGGCGAGCTCGACGAGGAGCGCGTCACGGCCGACCTCGTCAACCACGCCAACGAAGACCTCCACCGGCAGCTGCGTCTGCTCCACCACCCCTCGCCCACGTCCTCCTCCACGCACCACACCTACCACCACCACCACCACAGCGACGACGACGACGACGACGACGACGACGACCTCGAGGCCACACGCCGCCATCAGCAGGCAGAGGCGGCGGCGGGGCGTGAGGCAGACGAGCTGCGGGCGGAGGTGGAGGACCTGCGCCGGCGCCTGGCCCAGGCCGAAGCGGAGGCGGCGGCGCAGGCCGGCGAGGCACGCGCAGCACGCGAGGAGGCGGCCCGCACCGCGTTCGCCCTCGACAGCGCCCAGCGCGACGCACAGACCGCCCGCCACGAGGCCGCGCAGGCCGCGCACCGCCTCGTGGAGCAGCAGCAGCGGCTTCAACAAGAACAAGAACGAGAACAGCAGCAGCAGGGGCGGCGGCATGAAGAAGCACAGAGCGAGAAGCGGGAGGTGGAGCAGGGCGGCGGCGGCGAGGCCAGCAGGGAGGAGGAGGAGGAGGAAGCGATGCGGGCGGCGGCGGCGGCGAGGGAGGAGGCGGAGGCGCAGGTGCGGGATCTGAAGAAGGCGGCGATGCGGCTGGAGACGAAGCTGCGGCGCACGGAGAAGCAGCTGGAGGCCTTCCGCACCACGGCCTCCGCTGACGCCAAGGCCCACCAGCAGACCATTGCCGCCCTCCAGGCCAAGGCCCTCGCCCTCACCCAGCACAACCAGCAGCTCCTCCGCGAACACGAACACGCCCTGGCCCAGGCCCAGCAAGCCTCCGCGGAAACACCACGCGAGCCTGATGCCGCTGCTGCCGACGCCGCCGCGGCCCTCGATGCCCTTCGCACGGAGCTGGAGCAGGCCCAGCGCACTGCCAAGCAGCTCCGCGCGGAGGCGGACACGCAGGCAGCGGCGGTGGAGCAACTGGAGCGGGAGCTGAGCCGCGAGCGGGCGGCGCGGGAGGAGCGCGAGCAGCAGACGGAGCGCGAGGTGCTCATGGCCCAGCAGGCGCGGCAGGCCGCCGAGGAGGAACTGGCCCGCGCCCATTCGCGCCTGCTCGCCGAGCAGCAGCTGGCTCGCGACGTCGACCAAGAGCACGCACGCGCCCTCGACGACCTCCAGGCGGCCCTGCACGAGAAAGTAGCCCTCCTGGTCACCGCCCAGCAGCTGGCGCGCGACGCTGACGAAGAGCACGCACGCACCCTCAACGACCTACAGGCGGCCCTCCACGAGAAGGACGCCCTCCTGGTCGCCGCCCAGCAGCTGGCGCGCGACACCGATCAAGAGCACGCACGCGCCCTCGACGCCCTCCAGGCGGCCCTGCACGAAAAGGACGCCCAGCAGCAGCAGCAGCCGGCGCACCACCACCACCACCACCACCACGAGGAGGAGGAGGAGGACCACAGTAGCGGTGCCGCCACGGAGGAGGAGGCCACCATCACCACCATCACCGGTGAAAAGGAGGCGCGCGAGCCCGAGCGGGAGGGAGGAGCCGCCAGCGGCAACGACCTCCACGCCGGCGATGAACACGACGACGACGACGGGAAGCTGCAGCAGCAGCAAGAAGAAGAGATAGTGCGCCTGCGGGACCTACTCGCAACGCGAGAGGCGCGCATCGTAGAACTCGAAGCCGCCATGGCCCAATCCCACCAGGAGGAGGAGGAGGAGGCGGCGGCGGCGGCGGAGCGGAAGCAGCAGGAGGAGGAGGAGGCGGGGGAGGAGCAGGCGCACGTCGCGGAGGAGGAGAAGGAGGAGCCGCTCGAGCCACTTCGCCACGACCTCGAACTCGCCACCACGCAAGCTGCCCAGTGGCGCGAGTCTTGCGCGGTATGTGCTGCCCCGCCGCCGCCGTTGTTGTTGTTGCTGCTGTCGTGTGTGTGTGTCGTGTGTGTGGTCGACCGCTCACATGTGTGCATTTGGTGCAGGCCCTGGAGGCGCAGTTGGCGGCGGCGGCTGCGCGGGTGGAGAGCCTGGAGCGCGAGCAGGAGGCGGCCCGAGGTGCCCAGCTGGCACGCGAGGAGGAGACCGCCCAGCGGCTCGCCCTCGCCGAGAGCGGCCGCGCCGACGCTCTCCACTCCCTCGCACAGGCCGAGGCCCAGCTCGCCGCCGCTGCCCACGTCGTCCGCGAGGTGAACGCACAGGCAAGCGAAGACGGCGGCGGCGAGGCAAACGAAGAGGCCAACGCCGACAACGTCGCAACGGTCCAGTCCGAGCCAGAGCATCACCAAGAGGAGCCCGTAGAAGGAGAAGAGGAAAAGGAAAAGGAAATACAAGAGGACCAGGAAGAAAAGAAGGAAGGAGAGCAGCTGGCGGAAGGCGGCGGCGAGTCCGATGCGCTGGCGGCGGAAGCGATCGAGGAGCTGCGTCGCCGGTGCGAGGAGAGTGAACGCGAGGCGGAGGCGCGGAGCCAGCGAGCGGGCGAGCTGGAGGCCGTAGTCCAGGAGCAGGGCGATCGGCTGCGTGAGCTCGACCAGCAGCTGCGCGACGCCCAGGCCTTTGAGCAGCGCTACCACGACGCCCAGCAGCTCGCCGCCCAACTCCAGCGCCAGGCCGACGAGGCCCGCGCCCAGTACGAGGCACGCCTCGCCGACCTCGACCTGCAGCTGGCCGACCTGCAGCAGCGCTCCGCCGAGGCCGAGGGCCGCGCCGACCAGCTGGCGGCCGAGCACGAGCAGCGCGAGCAGCTCCTCGCCGAGCGGGAGCAGCTGCGGCAGGCCCTCGAGGCCCAGACCGCCCAGCAGGCCAGCGCCGAGCGGGAGCGCGCCGAGCACCAGGCGGCGCTCGCCGAGGCCGAGGCGCGAGCGCGTGGGCAG